GCTGCAATTTTTTAGAAAATCCTTGTCACCGTGATTGACTAAGATTTTGTGCTTCCACGAAAATCTTTTTTGTGATTTTTCCCATAAATGCGAGTATTGTCTAGTCTAAGCGATATCTGCTAACAAGGTATTAGACATAATATGTCTACGTAAGCTCGTTCTAAGTGGCCATAAAGCACCGTTGAAATGTTACTAAAAGCATCTGACGCAAGAGTTCACATCAATCAATGTTTAAAACACTAGAGATAGCGTTTGCTGAAACGAAATGCTTTTTTATGATACTATCCGGTCGCTCTTTTTTTCATTTGACATGGAGCCAACTCATTATATGTCTTCACGGTCATTGCTATTTTGTGCAGGTGGAGAATTTGGTATCGATTTTAGAGATCGGCGTTTTCCAACCTCCATGTTGACAACTTCTTGTTGTTGTTTAACTTTTTATGACTTGCAAATTTCGTAAAAATTTGTACTTAAAAAAAGAGTGCGCGTAAGGTTCACACGCGATTGAAGTAAAACTTATTTGCTACTGTATAAGATTACATTTAAGTTAAAAATAAATACATATGGTAACACTCGTAATCCACATATTTATTAATGTCAAGCATTAGTATTTATATTGTAATAAATTATACATTATATATTTATATTAGCATTGAAAATATGTATAATATTTAAAAACAATAATGTAATTAGAGTCATACTTCAAATACGACATGATCGGTTTGTCATTGTAATTAGTATTTAGAAATGAATGTTTATTAGAGAATACTTCATTTCTCTGCTGATTAACAACTTCTATAATATTTGTTCACACAGGGGATTATATTATAACAACGCCTGAACAAATATTGTTTTCGCAACTTCACTCATCATGTAATTGTGTTTGAAGAACTTCATGTAATTAAAATTAACATACATTCATTGACTGCTTGTATTTTTTTTACTTTTTCGCGGCGATATAATTTGATTTGCTGTAATATCTGTCTTGCCTAAAAATATTTTCCATTTTATTAACTTCAAAGATTTATACAAACTACGAATACTATAGAAATAATTTCTAATCAATAAACTTACATTTAGTTCACGGCACAAATGTTTAATATGTTTTATTATTTTCAAGGAACAGGGTAAAATATTCTTCTGATTCAGGCATTTTTTATTAAATCAAGATTTGTACTACGATGTAACTTTAAAATGTTTATTTATTTATGCCGATTTCCTTATCATTTTTTTGATATCGATACGCATACAACGTTGATGCCGGTACGCATACAATGACAGATCTCTATTCACATGGACTACGACTAATCACAATCGACCCGTATATTCGTATATCATCGAAAGCGAATGACAAATCAATGGCACTGGTCGTAACGAACTTCCGTTGCATTTGTACGGATTTACACCTTAGTCGCGCCTAAAGAAGTTTTACTTCGAAAGAGTACGCGTAAGGTTCACATGCATTGGAGTAAAACTTTTTTTGCTATTGTACAAGATGACATTTAAGTTACAAATAAATAACAGTCAAGTAATGTCAAGCATTTTACATTAATATTATAGAATTCATTAATCAGCAATTACTTCATTTCTCTAATGAAGGTTCATTTCTAAATACTAATTACAGTGACAAACCGATCATGTCATATTTGAAGTATGACTTTAATTACACTATTGTTTTTAAATATTATACATATTTTTAATGCTATTATAAATATATAATTTATAATTTTTCATTATATAAGTGTGTATAATGGTTGACTCTAATAAATGTATGCATCACGAGTGTTACCATATTACTAATAAACATTATTCAAAATTATTATATAATGTATTTATTTTTACTTAAATGCCATCTTGTACAGTATCAAACAAGTTTTACTTCAATCGCGTGTCAACCTTACGCGTACTCGCTTTTTTTATCGTCACATTTTAGACTTTTTTCTTGACTAAATTTCCTTTTATAACAACCATTTTCTTCATATTTTGCTATCTATAATTGATATGATATATTTTCAATGCTTGACAAGATTCTCCTTCTCGTGTCCTAAAATATCAATACATGTAATATAGTTTGTACGAGTATTACGATCAGGCTATTACAAGTAAATTGGTAAAGTTTTACGAATGCTGTTGATTTATTAAGGACTTGGGTTAGTTAATGGAATAAGCAATACTTACCAACAAAGTTTAATATGCGCATAATCGAAATAGATCGATATGTCTAAGAACTATCATAAAATTTTATTGATACTCCCCTAAATATTAACGGATATGAAACGCCATGCATTTATTATTTTTTATCAAAAGTCATAAATATGTTGGAATGAATATTTATTGTTAACAACGACCTAAATGATCTAATATTATGAATGGCAATATGGAATATTAAAACAAAAATAAAATTTACCCAATGGTATCCTCTATTTTGTGTTGATTGTAAAAATGTTTGTCTATCTCAGTGACTTTTGTACCTAATGTACCCAAGTTGTAGTTATATATTTCCCATTGAATCTTATTTCGTTCTCCGTATAATTTCGAAGATTCTGTTGAAATTATTTACGACGTGCTAAAAGTCCCGCCCGACCGACTTTATAAAGTACGAGAAGACAGCTCCTGTTTGTGGGTTTAAGTGGTATTGTGTGTACTGTCTAACCAAATTCTCACGTAACATTCGATCCAAAATAAATATCGTCCTCGAAGGCGAGAGTGGTGTCTCTCCGAAAGGTTTTGCCATTCAATACCTATCTAACGATACATATATAGACAATGAGCTGAATGTCAAATTATTGGAAGCAAATTGGAACAAATTGCCAAATAAATAACTACACAATTAATACATTTTAATTCGTATATATGACATGCCAAAAAAATGAAAAATCGTGTTCCATTTCACTATTGCAGCATTTTGCTATGATGAGTTTTTTGATACATTTTTATTAACTTCCTGTAGTTAAGTTACTGTAATCGTTAAAAAATTAAAATTGAAAATTTTTGCATATATTGACGTTTCTTAGGTTATTAAAGATTTTGTCAGTTCCAGCAATTTGCCCTGAGACACGATGCCATGCACCACTAGTTGCATCGTTGCATGCTTCATATACTTATAAAAGTTCATTGATAAAAGTTCACTGATAAAAGTGTATTAATCATATATTAAATTCATGAAAAATCAAAAAATTATAACAATGATTATTCTTAGATGTTTCAATGCATTTGTATAGGGTTTTAAGACTTTTATATAAATCTTAAATTCAAGCAAAATTTTGAATATAATTTGTTTAATTTTTAATGAATGCAAATTGTGGGCCTATTGTAGCATTTTTGCTATGATCAGTTTATCATACAATTTTATTTTCATTTTTTGCTTTATGTACATGTTAAAGTTTCCTGATATAAATGTATTAAATATTTCATGAAATTCAATGTATACAAAGTAGGTAGACACAAATGAATTTACATATTATATTCATAAAAAATAAGAAACAATGACAATAATTATTGTTAAATATTTCAATGCTGTTTTAAGTCCTTTTTTCAAATTGAAGTAAAATTTTGTATACTATTTGTTTAATCTTCTTTATGAATATTTTCTTTGTAAGCAAAAGGACCTGCTTGCATTTAAATATACTACATAAACAGGGTTTGTGAGCATTTCTAAGTAAAGGGACTAAAATTTTAAAATTATAAATAATAATTCTGGAAAAAATTTCATATGTCTTTATTATGAATAGTTATGAATTCAAAATGGTTCTTAAAAATACTAAACAGCTGTTATACCACATCAATCTTCTCATATTTATGAATTTGTAGTACTTTCAATTTTTATATAATTTTTAAAACTTTACTGGTTTAAATACATTTTCGAAAAATTGTTATAACTTGTACACAATACTGACTTATTTTTACTCTTCTTTTTTAAGCATTTCTTTATTAATATTGAACAAGCATGGTATTACATAAACGTGCTGGACTCATTCAATAATTTCAACTGCTCACATTATTTTTTAAATCATAATATAAAATATAACTAAAAAAGGTTATAATTATATATAAATGTTTTACCACAGTTATTTGATTTTTTTCTCGGCTGTAAATTGAACCAACTCTTGTTCTAAAACGATTTTGATATTCGATTCTTACGTGATATATTCCAGTATTGAAGGAAATGTAGTACGTGGTGTCATCGTGCAAAAAACATATTTGTTTGCGTACAGACTTACGCAAATGTGGCCCAGTGTGTGAAAAATATAGTCTTATATATATATATATATATACTTTTTTTCAAAAACAGTTTAATTAAATTTAAACAATCAGTTAAAACATAATTAGTATCATCATAACTTGATATTAAATTTAATCTGGAAAAAAATTGCAAAATTTAAATAGTTTTTGTAAAACATTTACACCGATTCGTCGTATTCAATGAGCGAAAATTAATATGTATTTCGTATCACTACTTTAAATTTAATTACTTATTTTATTTAGTCTCTTTGTTTGGCAAGAAATTCAGCTATATAAATTCTTTCGATCCTTTTTAAGTATGTGAAAGTGAAACAGTGAATAATTTCTTTCAGGTCAAAGAAATACAAACTTTATTAATCGAATGTGTGAAGTGAACTTTTATTAAATATGAGACTGAAACAGTGTTCAAATTTTATATAGTTAAAGCAAGAAGTACCTAATAATGAAGAACTACAGAAAATCTTTATTTAATAAGAACTGTGATGTCAGAGTAATTCAAAATAAATGCACATATAATAATTATGCAACAAGAAACTTCAACAGTATTATATTTCGACACGAGTTGGTGGACTCAATTCGATATAAATCGAAGTCAGAAGAAATATTTTTGGGCTCGGTCAAACACCATTTGATTCATTGTTTGTAATTTGATAGACAAAATTCAGAATGTTGGAGCTGCGAGATTATTATCTATCTACCTCTTAGTTTTTTGGGAAAATGTGATATTTGGAACAATTTCACGGTAAATTCAAGGTATCATGTCGCACAGCGGTTCACGCCCCGTGTCACCCAGAGTGGCCGACGGGGCTGTCCAACAATATGAGGGGCAGGTGGATTATATAATCAGTGATTATATGGAAAGATTAGGAACAAGATTGAATATATTAGAAACGGAATTAAAGTATGCTTGGCGTGCATTAGATCTACTGTCACAAGAATACGTAAAAATGTGGGAGAGGCTAGAAAAACTTGAAGCTTTGCTCTGTGAGCAACAAAGTGTCATAGCACATCTCCTGGAATTATATACAGCAGAAGGTGGTGATCTTAGTGCGTTAAACGTCCTATTACCAATAGCACAAAGTGGTATGGGTCAACTAGAAGTCATACGAGAAATACTAGGTAATGGAACGGTCGAAGATGGCCTCGAAGAAGGTGTTGATGTCACGAGTGGAGCCCCGCCGAACGAAGCTTTTTATAGATCCTTGAATCAAGCTTACAGGGAAGACCTGGTCGGCGGTGAATCTTCCAGATCAGCATCGCAATTGGGTTTAATATGGGAAGATCCTGAAGAATCCGAAGAAAGTGCGGCTAATAAAGCCAGCGAAGCAGAGGTACAAAAATTAATGGACGAAGCTATGTCTGAAGAAACGCAAGAAATATTTAGTTCAATCGATTATAAATATTATAGAGGCAATTCTCCATGTGTTAGTGAGCATGATTTGGCGCAATTGACGCGACTAAATTCAATGGACAGAGCTGCTATTGAGAAACTACATGAATTAGATAGATTAACTGGTAAGATGCAAGTTGACAGTCAGAGTATTAAAGAATTAGAAACACATTTGTTAGAAAGTCCTAGAATAATAAATCAACGGCAGCTGCAAGATGCTGCGACTTCGGAAGCCGAAGCAAGAGTTCTAGCTGAAGATAGTAGTATTATAGATGAACAATTACGGCAGATGTATACCAATCCAGATTGGACTTTCAGCAGCGGATCTGTCGGAATAGATGAAATTATGTTAATGGCGTCTGATTCTCCGAATAAAAAAATTGAGTCTCGCTTATCGACCGATGAAGAAGTTGCTGAAGCCATGTGCACTGGTTTTAGAAGTCCACGAGTCTCTTCGCCTCGACACAGAATGCATCACGAACCAGTTTCAAGTTCTGAACCATACAGCACAGTAACAGGTCGTCTTGCCTATAGTTCCGCTGTTCAAAACGCAGATATTAAATCTCCGAAGCCTGCCAAAGAGAGGAAATTTGTTTACAACCCATTTTTACCAGGATACGATGAAAATTTAGATAACTCGAATCTGATATCTACCCCATTTTCTACTGTCTCTAGTATTTCGCCTTCTATTTTTAAGGTAACTAGCACTAAACCTGCGTCGCCTTCACCATCAATATGCAGTGCTAGAACGAGACAAGATGGCTATTTAGAATCTAGCGAAAAGAATAAGGATAGTTTAGAAATGCAAGTTTCTAGTTCGCCAAGTCCACCACCACCAGCTCCACAGGATACTGCAGATAATTTGATGCTGCCTAATGCATCACCTCTACCGGGACCGTCTATGTCTCATAGTCCAGTCTTCCTTAGTGCTGAACAAGCGCAGATACAGCCGTCAATTAGTAGTATAGAACATGGACGACTAAGCCCACGAACTCCACACTCACCAAAAAGCCCCAGAACTTCCCCAAAACGAAAATCAAGTTCTGACATTGTGGCTGCAAAATCAGATTCTGGGTTATCTTCTATGAGTGGTTGGTCAAGCTTAGAAAAATCTCCCGGTTCGCCAAAATCTTCCAAAACACCAACTTCAAATTACTTGAGTGAACTTAATGCTAATCGTATTTCTGCAGCAAGAACATCTTCTCCCATGCCACCTGGAATGATAAATCCCGATATGTATCCTTACCAGCGCGATAATACTGCGTATAGGCAAAGTAATGCTGACTCATATATGGACGAAATTTTGAGGATACCCTCGTGTACGTCAGAAATTCAGAGACCGTATCAACAATCTGCTTTTACTTCTTTGACACAGTCAGTTCTAAGTAATGGTGATCTCTACAACTCTTTTGTTCCATCACCGGCGCCCTCAAGTACAAGAAACGTATCTCATAGATATGTAACGGAAGTGCCTTATAATGAGGCAGCTTATAGACATCAGCCAGCAATATATTCTGTTGCTGGTAGTAATAGACAGGAAGTGTACACATCTGTCTATACTAGCAATTCGTCGACCTCAAATGCTCAACAGCAAGCTTTAAATTATCCTGATCTTATAGAGCCTTATGGTAATGATGCTTACAATCAACGTTTTCCACCCGAACCAAACTATCACGCTCGAACAAGCATTCCGCATTCATCTAGTACCCATCATCATGGAAGTAAAAGAAATTTGAGTAGAGCGCCTTCTACAACATCGATGCCTAGTGAAGGAATGACTAATCACGAAGGTTACAAAACTGCTATGTATCGTACTATGTTCCCTACTGGAAATTTAACTGATGCGCTTGTATATTATCCAACATCTACTAGATACGATAGTCCTGTATATAATGTACCTCCTGCTGAATATGATGAACCTGAAGGTTGGGCACCACGAGAACATAGGTCTCCTATGGCAATCCCACGCGATAGTACTTCGGGTTCAATAAGATCTTCAGCTACAGTTCCAGCTGATGCTGTACAAAATATCACAATCGAACAGCGTAGATACCAGCAATATCAACAGCAGCAAGCCGAATATCAGCGACAGCAACACATTTATCAAAATGTACAAACATACAACGCATCCATTGAAAGTAAACAACTTGACGATCAATATCAAAAGACTTGGAACCAGAGGACACACTATCTTGAACTCGATTTACGAAATAAAAATTTTGCTGATCAGAATCAAATGGGAGAATTATTTGATGCTGGAGGTGTTATTGTTTCTAAATCCGGATATATATCTATTTCGTCAGATTTGAAGGACCGTATACCAACTGATAAGTTAGGTAAAAAGTCTAAACGCGGTTCGATCAAATCAGCAATGAATTCAGTGAGTCACTGGTTACCCGATCTAAATTTAAAGAAAAGGCATCGTTCAAATTCTTTACCTATTGGAGTACAAAGAGAAGACTTGGAGTTATCTAGAGATAGCAAATATAATTCATCGCTAAAAGACAAAGTTAAAGATCCAAACAGGAAGAAGAAGAAGTATCCATTAGTTGCAACTATGTCTGGCATATTACAAAAAGCTAAAAGGAAAACGCAACACAGTGATTTGTCACTCTCAGATCCTGAGCAATCAGAAACAGAATGGAGTGGAGGGCGCTCGAGTGTAGGAGTTTCTGACAGTGAAGAAGGTAGCGTATTTTCAGAATCAGGGAAAGATATGTTTGCTAAAGTAGCAAGTAGTAAAAAATCTAAAAAAACTGAGCCTCAAGCACAAGTAATAGGTAACCAAGTAATATCTTCAAGTCAGTATCAACTGATAGCTAATAGTCAACAGCAACAAATTGCTCAAGATAGACAACTATATATTGATGAATCGCAATACGATGACGATTTCAATCAAAATTTGAGGCAGGAATCTACGAAACAGCAATCAACAGATTATCAATCTGATAATAAAAATATTCAATTTCAACAAGTCCAAAATGGTGGACAAGTTCAACAACAAAATGATGTTTTTCAACAAATGCAAGTTCAAAATGGTAATTACCAACAGACGCAGATGCAAAACGGTGATCTGTCACAACAACCTCTATTTGCTCAAGTACAAAAGCCCAAATTACAGAGAGAAGCAACACAAGACTATAAACAAGATGCGGAAACTGATTTATCAGATAATGTACCGGGTGAAGAAGAAAACTCAGGAAAGAGTACTGGTAGTGGGTCATCTTCTATTTTTGTAACTGTAGGAGAGGCAAAACGCGGTACAGGTTCTGATGAATCCACAACTAGTGAAAATCGTACTTTCCCGCCTGTAACTTTAGGAGGAGCATCTATGGAGTTTGCCGTGTCCAGGGCTCTCGGAAAATATAGAAAGCGACGGTCGACTTCTGCTTCTGATGACCAAGCTGGTTCTGAGGACGCTGGTTCGAAATCTGATGAAACCGAACAACTGCAGGATGTAGAAGATACACAAAAACAGTCGCCACAAGGTGTTAAAACAATAACCACAAAAAGTTCACCGGAGCTACTTCCTGCTAAAAGCGTATCCTTAGAAGAACCACCGCAACCTGAAAGCAGTCCATCAGCCTCAAGCCATAGAAGTTATACTGGAAGAATGATGCCACGTCAGCAACAAAGTTTAGATATACCAGGAGGCAGAGGTGAGGATGATGATAATAGAAGTACACACTCCATGAGAAGTGGTAGATCATCGCGTCGTCAAAGCACTGAAGAAAGTATTGATAGTGAAGACGAATGGTACAGGTACAATGTAAGGCGTTTGGAAATGGAAGAACAGGATATACACTACCGACCAGAACTTTCTGAACCTCTTCGAGAAGAGGCTGAAAATGAAGAACAATTCGGACCTGACGAAGATGTGAAAGAACGAATGTCTTTTGTTTTAAGAGAATTAAAAATGACCGTTAAACCTATACCTGATGTTCTCGAAGAAAAAGAGCTAAATGCCCAAGTTATAGCATCCGCAAAACGACGAGAAAAAGAACAAGAGAGTAAGAAAAAAGATAAAAATCATAAACGTGAATCGACCGGGCCCAAATCAGTCTATGCTGAATTTGCTAGAATTACAGACTATCAAACGTGGCGAGATGCTGACGAAAAACAAGAACAAGAACAAGAAATTGAGTCTGATGTTGAAGCACCAAAAGACGAAGACGAAGACCGTTCAGAGCATTCGTCAGGTGATACCTCAGGGCCTGACAGTCCTCATCAAAGTATGGACGAAATGGAAGACGAAGACTACGAAAAAGAGCAAAGTACCATAAACCAACAACCAATTAAAGAAGGTGGTGCACTAATAAGAAAATTTACTGGCGTCCCTAGCTACACTAGTGAACCAATACCCGAACGTAAATACAGTACTCGTGTTGAAGGATGGTCTCTCAAAAATAAAACTGACTCGTCTTCTACTAGCGTAGAAGATCAAAGAGGTTCAGTTGATATACCAGATGACCAGAAGGATCAAGGCGGACCTTTGGGAAGCAAATGGAAACTCCTGAAGGCACTCAAGGAGCGTAAAGCCGAAGAGAAGACTAACCAGGAGAAAATTCAGGAGGCGGCCAGCACCCCTCAAGATAAAGTAAGTATGCGATCTATTATGCAAAAATTGTACGAAATAGGAGTTAAGAGTTAAATTTAAAATAGTTGTAAATTATATATATGTACATGTTTGATGGAGCTTTGTTGACAATCGTTATTATTTTATATTGTATAATATAACAAATACTGTAATTATAAAATTAATATTATATAAGCTACTAAATTTAATCGAAATGTAGATAATATCTATTATTAAATCTGTAAGAATTGGTATGTTAGCAGTAATTGTTAAGGAAAATTGCTCTCGCAATTTGCTGAATGCTGATGAGTTAAGATAATACTGTAGTGAAATATGTAGTAATTAATCTAATATTTAAAAAGCATCAAAAATGCAATTACCACCCGTTAGGATAAGCATATGAGTATCGTCGTCATGTTCATATCATTATTTACAATCATATCATATATACATATTATATTAAAATGCTTATTTATATGTCACAAGAGAAATTCTTTAACACTATTGTATATTAAAATTTTAATTCGCATCTATTATAACCAGTTAACTGTGGCTCTCTCATCCGCATTGAGCTCATGACTAGTATATTTGTCATAAAAACCTAAGGTCATCTCAACTAACAATTTTCAAAATAACCAGTAGTTAATGTTATTTAAATTACTAATCTAAATTCTTATGGATAAAGTATATTATTTCCACATCTCGGAAAGTTTTACGCAAATAGTCTTGATGTAAATTGCCACTTACAACTACTTATTTTATACAACCATAACCTCAAAACATTCTAAACAACTTGACATTTCAGAATATTTTCTGTATTCTGCCAAAATTTCAATTAAACAGCCATTAGTTTATGTTTTATACGCATAACAAATATACACGTCAAAACACAAAATTTTGCCAGTTCTCCATGACGTGTTTATTTGTCAATTATAATAGTATGTATGTACTATATCAATAAATAAAAGCACAATTAAAATTTTAATATTTGAGAAAGCTAAACTATCATCTTGAAGTTTCGTCCTGTCAAAAGCAGCGTAATCAACTTCTGCTTATATCAACAATTCAGTATCTATTCAAGCCAATTGTCACTATTACAATCTTGCTTTTTCATATAACTCGAATATGCAGTTTGTCGACCCGGTAGCTTTGGCGCCCGGGTCGACACACCTCAGTTCTGAACGCCTGCAAGACGTAGGAGCTAACTGGTTCCTGCGTCTGGTTCCAACAGTTAACTGGTTAATATAAAAACTCAATTTGAATCACACTATTTGACAATTCTAAACATTTTTCTGTTACAACCATTTTATTTTACATTTTATTCAATATAATTGAAAATGTTTTACTTCAATATAAAAAATTATCACGTCATTTTGCATATCACTTCATGCCTATGCCCTTTACTAAAATATTCACGTAGCTTTAAAATATTATAAATATAATAATAAATTCACTATATTTCCTATCACAACATATATATTAATGACATAGTTCACAAAATTTAGTCCACTATAATAAAATAATACATAACACATATACCTTGTCCTATAGTTACCTATTTAACATTCTTATATAATCATAATCATTCTCATAATAATATATATGTGAATTAAATATCTAATAATTAATAACTAAGCGTTAATGAGCGCTCCTTAATTTATTAAAAACAACAAAATTGTGAGAAATTTCCAATTTTGTCAAGAATATTATTAAATTCATATTACACATTTTGAAAAATAGTGTATGTTAAATTCAAATATTAATAATACATTTTACTGTTTTTTTAAATCGTGTACCTGAAGTTTCTATGTAATATTATTACAATTGTCATATTCTTCAAAATTTAATTAATTAATTCAATTAAGTACATAAGACTGATTTACAATAATTTGTTTGAATTCCACGAGTCTGTTATTAATCAATCAATATATATTAATACATACTGTTAATTTTATCTACTATTACCATTATTTATAAATATTAAATGTTACAAATAGTTATTTAACTATATTATACTCATAAGATAATCAATGAAAATATAATAATGCGGTTGATAAATATAAGAAAAATTAGTGGTTACGTAATTGTGCAATTTGTAGAAATTGTAGAATATAATTAACGCTTTTAGATATAATTTGTTAGTGCAATTGTATTTAGTGCTTTATATAATATATTATTATGTTATGAATAAATGTATATTGGATAGTAAATCGTGTAGATTTAGGTATTAGACAAATAAAAGCGTGGTAGATAAATTATATATTAAAGATAGGTGGTCAGAGATTGGTGTACCAATTTTGTAAAGGTGTCTAGATTGTTTATAATTTATAGGAATGGTTAATGATTAGGTTTTCGTGAAAAATCCAAAAATCGTCGGTTTCAAATTCAATTTTATGGGTAGTTATCATTTTTATATATTTAAAGTGAACAGCATTAAATCACCCTCTGAATAAAATAGTAAAAACTATATCTCACTTTATTTGAAATTATGAGCTTGTAAGTGCAACCTAGAGCTTTGGTGAAATTTTGATTATTTGTTGTTTTCATACTAAATTTTTTGATTAGAAAACTATCAAGTATTTTACCATTTTAAAATCCTGATTAATATACCAACTTTTGGTACACATTAGTAAGTTTTTTAAGAGAAGCACCTATCAAATTTGAGTAATTTTGAAAATTTTACATTCATAATTCAACGATCCTTCTTTTTGAATGAATTCTTGAAAAACTTTATTAATTACGTAATTATTTTTGACTGTACTTCTAAAAATGTTATTCACGTAAATGGATCTAACGTTTAAACACACATTTAATAAAAATTAACTACAATAATTGAAAAATAGCCACAATTGTAACAAAGCTGGAGGTTGCATTCAAAAGCTCATAATTATTAAATAACATGAGATAAAGTTATCCTATAATTTTAATCAGGACATTTATGATCAATACTATCACCCGGTTTCTGATTGACGTTGAGTTCTGAGACATCCTGTATATATAAAAAACATTTAAATATAAATTTTGAACGTTTTTTCTAATTGTAAAATAACAATTCAAATCTAGCGCGCAAATATCAAAACTGGCCTACTTAACCTTACTTGGTTTAATTATCGCTTTTTCTAATTAATAATTTACACAATTTTGCAGAAAACCGTGAATAATAATGTAAAAGAAATTTAATTCACAAAAATACAATCCATGTTTAGTTTATGCTGTAACTGTATTTAATACACATTTGCTATTTTACATAGTTTATATATTGGGTTCCGTAAGAATTTATAAATTCTCAGTTTTTTTCATGATTTTTGCTCATATTGATCAATTTTAAAAACATATTATACATAAAAACAATTGGAATACAAATTTTGAAGACTGTTTTTTGATAAATTTGTTTGAAATAACTGTTCAAATTTGGCGCGCAACTAACTTGCCAAAACTGACTTACTTCACACCAATGTCTTAAGTGTCACTTTTGCTAAAGGATAAATTGCACACATTACTAACTTAACCTCTGAAAGGAAAGGACATTAAATATGACGTTTAATTAACAATAAAGTGATTTTGTTTAGTTTTTGCTGTAAAAGATGTGTGTTCTGTGTCAGTTAATTATGTATTAGGTATGTACTTGCAATATTATTTTATACTAACTAAATTACATAGTTTTCTGTCAAGGGTATAATGTCAAAAACTAACAACATCCTTAAGCATTTCTATTGGCAGATTGATTATTATTATTAACGAATAATAATTGTATGTAATTAGTATACTATATTGGTACACCATTGCTCTGATTAATAATTGTTATACAATAAGTATTTACTATTTAAGTTTCATTTACCCATTGAATCCCTTTCACCCATCGCCTTGTCCCGTAGGACCAAATTGCTTATATAACCTTCTACACTTAATATTATACCAAAATTTTACTAAATGTAGCTATTAATATCTCCGAGCTTACTTATTCTATATGTAATCATAACGAATTAAACAAACATCATGCTGAGGGGAACATTTTTAATACAAGAAAATCTTAGGGATTCAATGTAGTAGAAAAAAAACTATAGCAATAATCCATACAAACATATTAACCAAAGATATATTATTCGTGCTTATAAACTTAACAATCGTTCCCAAAATATGGTTTATCAAATTAAGTATTATCATACCATGAAAATGTCAATAAGTAAACAAATAATAATCACAATAAACAAAAAGTTTTAAGGACCTGAAAACAGTTGTTTTCTGAGGCTTTTTCTACGCGTCAACATTCTAAATTTGCATAGAAATACATGGTTAATGCTACAGGTATATTATTAAATAAATTCATGTCAATTTTGAATCTTACTCCTATAACATAATAATCTTATAACTCTTTTATAAATCTATCTATTCAACTGCCCATAATTATTGTAAAATAGTTTTTGGTTTGTAATATATTTTAAAATTACAATAGCATTATTCTTATGGGCATCTAAAAATGTTTAGTCGAATTAGAATTTTTGTTGGTATAATGTTTAATTTAGCATAGTTATGAACCTACCTCGCCAATTCTCCGATAAAATAGGCCGTGACATAATGTTGTTATGGCAATGCTATGTTACGCCATTTTTTTTTTTCATATAAAATGGTACTAAAAATTGTCAAAATTCTATGTATTCCCCGTTTAATCAGTCAGTTTTAGATATAAAACCTAACCTAGATAACACACGGTCAAAAAATGTTATTAATACTGCATATTTCTGATGTGCATTGCTAACACATACGTGAATTTAGGTTTTATGTGTAAAGCAAGTCATGCATTTTTGCACTTTTTGCTGTCAATTTTTATGAACAAAGGTCATATCTTTCACACTACATATAGTGCTAGGAAAGAAGTGACTGTGACATCACTGGACGAACGAGCGTTGCCGACAATCGTGAAACTCTGCCCATTGATTAAATGTTACATGTCATGAGTTTTATTTTAATAATATAGTTGCAATTGTGATGACTGATAATTTTGTACAAAATGATATTAATAATATTTATCATAATAGTCAATGTAGTTCAAATATTATCTGTGATAGTACTAATTCAATAATATAATGGCAATTGTTAGTATCATTTCTTACAAAATTGTTAGTCATCACAATTGCCATTAAATTATTAAAATGAAATTATTACAGATAATTTTTTATTAACATTAACTATTATGATAAATATTATTAAATATTAATATTATCATTTCTTACAAAATTATCAGTCCACAAATTTCCATTATCTTATTAAAATAAAACAAATGACATATAAAATTTAAGAAATCGTAAGACTTTGACTATTGTCGGCAACGCTTGTTCACTCAGTGACGTCACAGTCCCATCTATCTTTATGTACTTATTTTGTGCTCGACTAGCAGTCCATGTACTGTAAAGTCTAAGACCTTTGTTCATATAAATTGATAGTGAAAACTGCACCTAACTTTTTTTTAGGTGCCTTACACCTGAAACCTAACTTCACGTATGTGTTAGCAATGCACATCAGAAAGATGCAGTTATATAAACATTCGTTTTTTGATGTTTATGATTTGATTGATTGATTTATAATATCATTTCTTAGAAAAATTATCATTCATCACAGTTGCCATCATATTATTAAAATAAAACATATGACACATGACATTTAATCATTCGAGAGAGTCCACGATTGTCGGCAACGCTCGTTCACCCAGTGACGTCACAGTCTCTCCTCATTGTACACTTTATACAATGAAAAACATAGGGACTGTCCATATAGTATAAAATCTATGCATTTTCTTCATATAATCAGAATAATAATGTTATCATAACTGCATCTTTCTGATGTGCATTGCTAACACATACGTGAAAATAGGTCGCAGCAGATACATAGTATTTTTACTACTAATTTATATGAAGAAAAATCCGTAACATAGCGTTGCCATAATAACGCTTTGTTATGGTCGATTTAAACGGAAAATTGGTCCCTAAATATTATTTCTTATGTCAATTAAAAGCAGATTTGCTTGAATCTTACAAAGCATTTATAAAACTGAACATGTGTTGTGAAATCAGCCGTAAATTTGTACAAATTGCTTTTTTAACTCTTCCAAGTTCCAGACTTATATTATTAATTATTGAAATTTAGTTAGTTCTAATTTAACACTTCAATTTGAATAATAACAATAATGATAAAACAAAATGGGAATTTTACTATGAACTAAATAATTAGTTACTTAAAATTATATTACTACTTAAAGTTATCATTTAGTTTTTAATACATGTGAACTTTATACTATAATCTTTGTAAAACGCAGTTAATTTTAAGGAAAATACATTTTTTTATATAAGTCAGTAGCACTCATATTTTCTTTTTTACATTTACAAAATACATTTTGGTACAATATTACTTATTTAATTTTTACCAGTGAATAAGATCTCATTTATTATATATATGCTATCTATTTATTCGTTCAGTTAATCACGACTTAAATTGGTAAAAATAAATATAATGATAATGGAATAAATAAAAACTGTTAATTTTCTTGCATATTTCTATCCATAATTTGTATCGCTTAAACTCATAAAATTATGTAAATTATTTAATGTGAAATTCTATATTTATTAAATTTTTTACCTAATAAATATTATTTTGTTTTATAAAATTTTATACTAATAATTAAATTAATTTATCCGTAAATGAAAACTAAATATTGAGTGGTTTCAGAATCCTAAAGAACTATTGAATTTTTTGTAATTTTTAACAAAATTTAGAAAGTATTTATTTTTTATGTTCATACATATTTTTTTGATAATTTGAATTTCCAGAAAAACCTTTTGATGACCTGGTCGTTTTGCTGGAATTTTACAATATTCAAATTTTGTTTGCTATTTCTAATATTTTATTTTAATCTTACACGTTTTCAGCAAATGCAAGCTAACATTTTATTTTTATATCAGTTTATATCAAAAAATTTATTGGTTACCTTTGGATCTTTATACATATGTTTTAATTAATAAAATAATTTTAATCGTTTTTTTAGATTTATATTTTATTATTTTCAAATTGATTTTCAAATTCACTAAATAAAATCTATGAATAATTTGTATTAAAAAGTTCTTAATAAATTATAATTGATTATTGTTAGATTTTTGAAAACACTCAGTATTTGGTTCATCACAATTTGTATATAAATTGTTATCTGTACATACAATGTTCATACGAAATGTTCAAATGCGTAAAATTCATATTATTAAGTTTTTGCATTAACCACTAATTATTTATTATTAATCTATTAACGATTTAACATTAAGTTATTGTGAATAATATTTAGAATATTTAGAGTTTATTGGATCTTCTTTAAATTTGTTTTAGACAATTAAAAAAAATTAAAAATTGCCATCGTCAATTTAATTAACAATTGGTCATAGAATTTTTTTTAATTTGATGATTTGAACAATCCTAAAAAAATATTTGTAGGTTTTAGTTTTGTTCAAAAAATGTCGAAAGCTATACTAAAACTAATTTTATATATTTTCAAAAACGATGGTTTCTAAATATTTAAATATTATTCAATATATCTTTATTTCAATATAATGCTATTATGGCATAATAAAATAGATGAGGTAGTATTACTTAATTTAAACCTCCAAACAACATCCCCAATAACATAATTCACTTCTACTCTAAACCAATGTTAAGATATTTTCACCACATGTAAAATGTTCTATTATAGAAACTTACAAAGATATGTAAATAATAGTAAATATCATCATTGAAATTTTAATAAAAAATAACATGTACAATTAGTGCAAATTTGTAATCTTTTTGATACCAAAGATCTTTGTAAATTTCTAAGCATTTTTTACCAAAATGATTTTGCAACAAATGTATTAATTTAGCCTATGGTGTCTACTACTCATACTGCTAAATAATGAAAAATAGTATTAAAACTATAATAACCAATATGAATATACATTATATATGTCAAACTGTATAAGTTACGAAAATATTGTATTGCAGTTTTAGAATATACAAATAAAGATATTAATCGTTTACATATATATATTTAGTTTTTTATAATATTTTTTTGTTTGATAAAAAATATTTTTTTGTTTGGTAAAAAATATTTTTTTATTTTTTTGTTTTATATTTTTTATTAATGATTTTTTTTATTTTTTTTAGAATGGAACTGGTGCTGGAGGCGAAGGTGGTGGTCGCGGAAATGGGTAAGCAAAATAATAAATTTTTAAATATTATCATTATATATATATATATATATATATATATATATATATATATGCAATTATATAATCATTGCTTCATCGCAGTAAGAAAGAAAATGATGTAGAAAATGTTAAAAATACTATTAAAATTCAAACAATAAAACTTTTCAATTCTTATATCGAATTTTACATCAAAGTTATATTTTTTAAATTTCTATACCGCTTAATTCATTAGCATTATTTACTTATAGTTTCATTTTTTTGTGTGAATATAATATTTAACTAATGGTTGTTATTAAATATTTGATTAATTTTTATTTATATCATTATATTATTTATATTTATATATTAAACATTTATTATTTAACTATTTATGAATCATGTACCAGAATTACTTTGCATAGAAAAAACTCCAAAGTATTATCCTATGACGAAGTTTTGAAACGAAACTTTTTGGCTTTGTATTAAATACTTTGCCATCATCAATCACGATCATAAATATTATTTTCGTAATTTATCATCAAACAAACAAGTTGCAAACAAACGCCGTACAGTAAACATTTTATAAAACTTCGGAGTATAACATAAATTGATAATATTTGTATTAACGTTTAGTAAATAATCATTCTAAATTATAAATATACACATTTTATATACTTATCTGAAATATTATGAGCTATTTATAAATTGCCAAAAGCAACTAAAGATCTGCCAAATTTTCGGGAAGACGGCCGAACAAAAATCTGATTATTTTTATGTTTCCATTTTTGTCTCTTTTTTTTAGAAACCTGTAAAAACATGAAACTAACAAGCAATGTATCATTTTACACACTTGATAAAATGGTCAAACTTTTAGTATCACTTGCGTTTCTATAGCATAATCAATAGCACTAAGTTTTATCAAGATCCGAGCTACTGAGATTTTTCGGCTAAAAATTTTTTATAGCATTTGATCAAGCTATTTTTCGAGTTTTTAGATAATTTAACCAGATAATCATATGAGTATTAAAATAATTCTTATATGACGTTATTTCTCGCTATATGCCCTACAATTAATTTCTAATTTGGACCCTCTATCTGCCAATTTGGACTCCGAACAATCGCCACTCTAACCTGAAACTAGCTTAGTATTAGGTTGAGAACACGTTTGGCCTACCTGTGCACTGTGGTATCTTCTCAAAAGCGGATCTTGCGAATTCAATGAAACAAGGTACACATTGTTATTATACTTCACCAAGTTTGTGATAAAAATTTCAAATTGGTTTATTCCATAGTTTTTGAGATATGCGAGATTACACTCTGACCTGAAACTAGCGTAGTTTCAGGTCGAGAACACGTTTGGCCTACCTGCGCACTATGGTATCTTCTGGAAAGCGAATTTTGCGAATTTAATGAAACATGGCACACATTATTATTATACTTTACCTAGTTTGTGATGAAATTTTCAAATCGGTTCATACCATTGTTTTCATGATATGCGAGATTACACTCTGACCTGAAACTAGCCTAGTTTTAGATTGAGAACAAGTTTGGCCTGCCTATGCACCCTGGTATTTTCTTGAAAACGGATCTAGCGAATTTAATGAAACTTGGCACACATTGTTACTATACTTTACCAAGTTTGTGGCAAAAATTTCAATTTGTTTCATTCGATTGTTTTCGAGATATGTGAGATTACACTCTAACTTGACACTAGCCTAGTTTTAGGTTGAGAGCACGTTTGGTCCAGGTGCACAATGGTATCTTCTCAAAAGCGGATCATGCGAGTTTAATGAAACTTGGCACACATTGTTTATATACTTTACCAAGATTTTGACAAAAATTTTAAATTGGTTCACACGGTAGTTTTTGAGATATGCAAAATTACACTCTGACCTGAAACTAGCCTAGTTTTAGGTTGAGAACACGATTGGCCTACCTGTGATTCAATTTTCTACAGTTTTAAGTTTCGAACTTTCTATTCATTTGTTGAATTTAATTATCTGTTATTAACGTGAGGTTGAATTAATTTCCCTCAAGACACAATGTAATTAATTATTTTTGCCTAATAAAACGGTTTTAATTCTATTTCTGGCCAACTCTGTATACAGCACTTGTACTCCAGACGTCTGCAAAAAAAAATCGACTCATCTTTATTCATGAAAATAAATATCGGCATTTACCTCGGCGTGTCGCCGACAGCACCGGCGTCGACACGTGTTTCGAGCTTTTCCCAAAAACCCTTTTTTTTCGCCCATCATTTCGCAGGCGTTTTCATTCGGCTTCGCACTTTCGCAGAGACGAGCCAAAAACTCGCTAACGCGGAGACACAGATTGTGCGAGCAAATTGCCAAACGACGTAATAAAACATTCAAAACGGGACCAGATACATATGACAGGCTGACGAAAGAAAATAATATAAGCATATACGATATAGATACGTATAGCATATTTACATAGATAATATGTAAAATAGTGGAGTGCATGGCGTCGTGCCTTAAGGCAAACTGCTGGTACTTCCCGTGCCGTAATTAAAAATCTTGCTACGGAACCCACAAAAATTGCACATAATATGTACACATTATTAAAATCTCTAAAATATCTGATAATTTTTTTTTTTGTTATATGCTTATTATCTTTGTTACAAACTATATTATATATCAGTTACTTGAGTCATTTGCGATTTTTTTAATAATATTTTTAACAGGTTTTACGAAAATACATATATAAATGTATTAAATTTTCATAGTTTTCTATTTTTATGTCACCGAAGAATTTGTAAATAGATTTATTTGTAGCACAATCACAGTCGTGGAAAGATCTTCATAGACCAAAGATTTAGAGATTCATAGATATGTAAATCAGCATTGTTCATTTAACTTGTTTCATTATTTATTATATTATTGATTTAGAGACAATTCGGTGCTTCTTCAATTTTACTTTTTAAGTAGGATTTTATTCTTATAGAATTATAAAGAAGTCAATTCAGGCTATCGTAACTTGATGTACATATGTCCAATAAACATTTTTAACCGCCATTTTTTTATCTTATTTTCATTGAGAGTCCATAACCGCTGGATCTGTCTTCCCAAAAATTTAATCAGTTCTTCATCTCGTCAATACAAGTAAAATGTTTAATAATAGGCTGTCAAATATCTCCCTTCCGCTTTTTTGCTCTTGGTTTATAATACAAAAAGGCGGATATTTGACAACCTATTACAATAACCATTTTTGGCACATTTTGAACCGTATCTTCGGAACGGCTGGACCTGCCTTTGCCAAAATTAAACAGCACGTCTTCTTATCAATAGGAGTGGAACGTTATTTGAATCATTCAAATCGGTTCCCGAAATCGTCGACGAAAAATTGTATCCGCACATACATACACTCACAAACATTTTCGATTTTTGCGATTACTATAACTTACTCTACAGAAAGTTTAATAAAAAGATATAAAATTGAAAAGTATTACTACATTCTTAATTTTCAATATATATATATAAGGTAAGGCAGGGTACAGAAGTCCAATTTCCAACTTTTTTTTTTTTTTTTTTTTTTTTTATTTATTTCTTATAACCAATCTGAACCTTGGGTTCAATGAGGTTATTTGCTAACGGGTACAGGGTAATTTCCAACTTTGAGCAATTATATTGTAAAAACCAAACCAATAACAAGAAGTAACACATATCCAACAAACAACTATCTGACTATGTTCAGCAAAACTCCCAGCTTTGTTGTCGAAATGCGTTTTTTTAGCTGTTTGTCAAAATTTGTAACCTTATATTAATTTTAAAGAGATTTTACGGAATAATAGCTACATTACTCAAACAATGAAAAATATAAGTTTTATAGGTGCATTTTTTACAGAGTACTGTAAATAACTTTGATCTGGTAGTTTGACAAAAATATTCATCAGAAGAGTTGGAATAATTATTTATCTCCAGTAAAGTAGCTTATTTCAAATTAACTTACAAAATAATAGCTAATTTACACAAACAATGAAAAATACAAATTTCATGGGTGCATTTTTTCACAGAGATAACACTGTAAATAACCTTGATCTATTATTTTGTCAGAAATATTCATCAGCAAAGTTGGAATAAATATTTATTTATTTCTTGTAAAGTAGCTTCTTTTAACTTAACTTACAAAATAATAAATACAGTACTCAGCAAAGAAAAATATAAATTTTAATTTAAGATAAATGGGTGCATCTTTACAGCGATAACACTGTATATAACCTTGATCTGTATTTTGTTAAAAATATTCATCGGCAGAAACGGAATAACTATTTATTTATATCTTGTGAAATAGTTTTTTCAACTTAACTTATTTTTTACTTCCTATTATTTATTTTTTTCACCCTTTTCAGAGTAAAAGTTCAGTTGGTCTTTTTTACTCTACCCATATGTAAGCTTTCACATGGATTATATAAAAAACTGCAAGAAATAACTTAAAATTAACAAAGCATTTTATAAAACAATCAAATAACGTATACATGAAAATTATATTGAGTCTTGTAAACTAAACAACAGAGTCCTCATAACCAAAAAAATATAACGAAAGAAAGCACTTTTGTTATGGATTTTTAAACATTGCAGTTTATCTCCCGATAGTGACATGGTAAGAATTAAAGTGATGACTGATCATCCATCTTTTTTCCTCTACTTTGAAATATTACTGTTAAAAAATTCTTAAATTTTTAATGTTTTCGAGATATCAGTGGTATCCGCGGATCTTTAAGCCCCGCTCTACCCGCGGCATATATATACATATATATATATATATATATATATATATATAAATTTTTATTTTAATTAAGGTCCAATGTCGGCTGTTTGCCCCACTATCATGCTCGAATATTCGAATGTCCTAAAAATTCTTCTATATTACCCTGTGTATATGTGAAAGCTACATACAGTAATTAGTGTTTCAAATAGTTTTGTGAAATTATAGCACGTAACAAGTTTTGTGTAGAGCAAAATGTTCATAAATATAACTCCACACTAAGGCAGAGGCCAAGCAATTAAACTAAGTTTAATAGTATCTTGTTCGTGCCAAGATTCGCACGGAATCACAAGCAATATCATGCTTTACTAGAAAGTTTAGTAAATAAATATGATTTCAAATAGTTGAAGTCGAATATAAAATATAATTGTATTTTAAATATCAGTAAGCGCTGTGAACGCTGTACTGTAATCATTCTTGTCTAAATGTTAAATCAATTTTTATCCTCTTGAAATATATGAAATATTTGTAAGACGTTGGGATGAATTTTAAAATATTCCTTTGATAAAACTGTAATTTCATTGGTTTTATTATTTTGCGCAGTATGACAAGATTTATTTAATCAACCACAGTCTCGTGCTGTTTGAAGACGGAAACTTTTATTTTGATTATACTATTTTTCAGTTTGTTCATTGTACTTACATCCGAGATATAAAGTTCTATATTTTATCTTAGTAACAGAAGTGGTACATTATTTGAATTTCAATGTAATTTTAGAACTTTATGCTGAGATGTTTTTATTATAAACTAGATGACCTGACAGACTTTATCCTGTACCCATGTCTACAATTTTTTAATATAATATACTAATATTCACCGTTTACCTAAAAATAATAATTTTTGTTTTTTAAATTATTCCTCACGCCAAAATGCATATACATTTATAATATGAGCGATGTTAATTGTAGAACTGCTTTAAATAAAATGATGAGTCTCAATTCCCACACTATATTGGAAATTGAAGTCTTTTAAACGGTATAACATAACCATACCCATAACATAACACTGATACTTCATGTTGGATTAAATTAATTTAATTTTTTATTATTTTTGATATCCAAAATTGCATCTTAAACTTCTTCTAATCGATATCGTGAGGACCGAATTGTATGTATTCATCTTTACTTTCTCATTTGTTGTTATAAAGTGAAATTTTTACGAATTTGAAAAATATTGTGGAAAGATTAGTAAAAGATGCAAAGAAATTATATATTGAAAAAAAAACCTATATTGAAAATTCAATATCCGAACCTTGTGTTGGCGCCCCCTAAGGCGTGCGCTCGTATTTTTTGCATGCATCGCATTAAAAGTAGGACCGGCTCTGATTAATTTCATATTTTAAGTTGTAAATATAATAGTCTAGTATAGATATTAATTTAGTATCGATTTTAGTTTGATTCTCAATTTGTTAGTTTTATATGTAATTTTGTTAAACTCCTTCATCTTATCACTATCTGATAATGATAATAAGTGTGTGCAAAATCGTAAATTGGGCACACGTGTAAAATATACTAAAAAGATATTACCTTAATATAATACTTTTAATAATTCATTTAACAACAAGATAGGTACATTAGTGTTTTATATATGATTTATACAGTTTTATGATAAATGCTATTTCATAATTGCTTCCATAACTCTTTGAGTGCGACTTTAAACATTTTGTTTTATGACAATACTCTGTAAAATATTGCTATAAGGTGCAGTATAAAGATTTAAAAGATTTCATACTTATATTATTGCTATAACGTATTTTATTGTTTGCATGCAATGTTATTATTTGAGTTATAAACGTGAAAATGAAACGTGTTCTAAAAATCTAGGAAATATCAAATATTTTATAAAGTGATATAAAACATAATATTTTAGAGTTCATGTTGATGGGTTAATTCTTGGTTTATATTTTCAATAGAAGAATAACCAAACAAATGTGTCTCAAATTATATTTTTATCCATCATGTTATTAGGATCTACTTATTAATTTCCAACTCAGCTCAGAATGATTATTATTAGTTAATGATAAGAATTAGATCCTTGCAATGTTGAGGATAGTTTTCTAACAAATTTATTTTTCTAAGATTTTATAATAACATTATTACTGAGGCAAGTTTAATATTTGTGTAAGCTCAATCATAATAATAACTTCAAAATATTGTTTTTATTTTATACAATACATGAGAAGGAGAAATGAGAGCTCTATATAAGCTGAGAAACTTTGTAACATTCCAACAATAGTTATTTAATTATAAAATACTTATTTTTTGTGTTTGAATAATAATTTATGAACTAAACAATCATCAACATCTATTTCAAAACTATCTCAAAAGTATTAATGATAATAAATAAGATTTAGTAATACTAACAAGAAAAATATCTTAAAAATCTCGTAAGGTCTAAGTTTATTTTTAATTCACAAATTGAAGTTTAAAATTTCATAATTATTATAATTTTTAATTGATTATAATTTTATGAATTCTTACAAATTATACATAAATGCACTTACAAATCGTTTCTAATTTTTAAAAATGTATAAAATTATTAAGAATTGTGATTTAAATAAAATTTACCATAATTTTCATGTATGTTTAACTACATGGCAGCAATGGTGATTTGATGATGAGTATTTCTATACTTTTTAACGTTTTTTATCAACTAAAACTTTGTAGCATAGCATATTTTTAGAATTTAGTGGTGCATTTATCCTATACTAAATGAAATATTACATTTTTACAGACATCCAGGGGACAATCCATTTTACAGCAACATCGACAGTATGCCTGATATACGACCCAGGAGGAAATCGATACCATTAGTTAGCGAGCTGGTCAGTAGATTTTTAACTAATTTTATAACATTATTTGATCAAAATTCACCAAATTCAACTCATATATTTAATATAGAGTTCATAGTTTCATAATACTTTGGATTTATACAAATTCGCGAAGTCATTAATAATTTTCTAAAATATTGATGATTAGAAAATAACTGCACAAAAGTCCATGAGACTATATGTTAATATTTGACATTTTATTAAAATATAGTTTTGAAACAAAATAATGTCTCAATTAGAATGTTTTCAATTACTATTTTTTTTAAATATATATAAAGTAAAGATTTGTATAAACATAATTATAATAATTTTAAATTAATGCTATAGTTTCCGAAGTATTATGAAAACATTAATTCATGCCATGTCCATTCTCATTTATTGTTTGACATACCATTATCGGTTAATATAGAATTATTATTATAGGCACACACATGTCAACGAATTGAATATTAATTTACGTATATTTAATCAAGAAATATTTAGTTAATTGAAATATTGCTGAAACGTAAATAGTTTTTCAGGATTTCTATAGAAATTTTATTATCAAAGGCATAATAAATAGAAATACGTGATAAGGCGACTAGTTATTTTTCATCTAAAATTGCTTAAATTGTTTGAATTTATTTAACTTTTACAATAATTATTTTAAAAATGGGAGTCACGTCTTTTCTGAAGTTTTACTATCATTTTTAACTATGTTCAAAATATCTTTACTTTTAAATTTTTTTTCTTCAAATATCAACTATCAGATGGATTATATTGAACGTTTGAAGAATCACATAATTTGTACAATGTGCAAAATTTGATTTAACCTGGTGAAATCAACATATGAGCAAGAAATTTGTTGTTGGCAACTATAAGTAAGTGCGGTTTTTATTGTAAATCATTTCAATTGAATTTTTAAGTTTTGTTGATATAGTTTAAATGTAAAATACCGTTTGTTCATGGATAATAGGTGATTTAGATGTTTATGAGTGAAAATGAGTTTTTTGGTCGATTGCATAGTGGAGCAAATTAGCTCCAAGTTAGATTAAGTCATGATTTCATATACAAAAACAAAAATCATCGTAGAATTACAAAGTATTGAGTTTTAATTAAAACTACTTAATTATTTATGAAAATACCCTGCACATAGTTTCAAATCAAATCGAAAATTTTTGTCTATATGGCTTCTTTCTGCAAAAGGTAAAAGCTCTTAAAAATGTTATGAGCTATTAGTCAAAATTAGTCAAATTTCTTTCTGGTGATTTCTCAGTCAAAGATGAAAAACGGTCTAGTCATTCTAGAAGTAGTCCTCTAGTCATAAAGTCGATTACAAAGAAATTGTCTGTTTTTATTTGGGCACTTGACCATATCCACTATATCGTCCTAACTTAACTTTCCACCTTCTTATTACTTTTTGTTTCGATTTTTACAAATCTTCTTGAATGATTAATAATTCAATGATTATGATTATGTCAAATTGTACCTGATTCAGTTTTTTGTTAATAAAAACCAGAAAATTTATGAAAATGGGATAATGTTCTACTTGAAAGGTGGCAAACAGTCATTGATCAACATGGACAATATATTACAGAACAAAATTATTGAGTTCCATGTAAAAAATGTCTTTGTTTATCTTAAAAATATCCGCACTTACTTAGATGCCAACCAAATATTTTCCTTTCTCGATTTTGCTATTACTGGTTATTAGTATTTTTTGAAACCAATTTTTATTTACACACGAACCAAAAAAAATCAATTTTGTTTTGTATAGAGTTGTTATATTTACCTGCTTTCAAAATAAACAAATGCGAAAATAAATTTGAATAGAGCGCGCAGCTGCACATAAATATTCAAATAGGACAGTTTTAGTGAAATTGCAAACATGTGCAAAACTGTCGTTCCAAATGCGACCGCCAATTTTGCTAGGACAACTCGTTATTTTACCGAAATGTTAAAGGTTAGACAATTTATAAGTTTGAAACATAATCTGGCTGTAATACATATATATTATTATTGGTTACCAACCTGTAATGTAAATGATACTATATTATTACATAGATTACGGGCCAATTCTCAGGTAAAATAGAAACGTTATGGTATCACTATATGTTATGGATTTATCTTTGTATAAATTAGTAGTAACGAACGTATTTCTTTGTAATCAGTCGTTTTACACATTAAACCTAACTTCACGTATATGTTATCAATGGCACATCAGAAAGATGCACGTTAAATAAAAGATGTACTTTTGTGCGTTTTGTAAGTTAGTTTTTATGTGTGACAGGTCCGATTGCGTTGTAAATATATAGTTTTTTAGTATTTTTACTACCAATTCATACGAGCCGCAGCATAGCTATTTTATTTGACAATTGGCCCCATAGAATTGGTTGTTAAAACAAAATAATTTATTAATTAGATAATATTGAAAATAAATAAATATAACATGAAATTTTTATCTCTGTGCGTCCATAATAATTTACTTGAGTTTTTTAAAACATCTGACTATAATTCTATGCAAGAGAAAGTTTATATGAGCATTCCTGCAAGTGGCACAAAATTATGGAATCCATAAAATTTTACGATTGCGAATCTAGAATTATTTGCATTCCGAATTTGCACTTTGAATATTAACATTCATATTAAATATGCGCGAACTAATGTGAATTTTAACCATTAAACGCATAAATGATTTTACACAGTCTATTTGATTTTCAATAATGCGAATCTGTTTGTAAATAATTTTAGTTTGGGCATTAATTTTGTAATTATTTGCGACAATAATGAAAATTTAATTATTTGGTATCAATTGACACATATAAATTATATTTATAAAAGGTATAAATTAGAGTTTTTAACATTTATATAATTCTTTAGCATTTTAGGTAATTAATGATATATTTTATAATTGATATTTATATTCGATAAATTTTAAATTTTTCAACCGACAGACAATTTCTAAAATTTCGTAATAAAATGAAAATATTTAAATGTAATAAAATACAAATATCTTTTTTTTTCGAAAAGCGCACAGAAAATGTTATGTATGTACTCCATTTTTGTTGATAGTTTTGTCTAGTTCAAGGATATTATTTAGAATGTTTTAGATTTGCATTTGAATAAAAAAATAGATTTTTACGCATATTTTTAATTTTTAATCGCAAGAACACTTAACTTCAGTAAACTCCAACATATATCAAGCTATGCTCATTTATTTCCATATCATAGAAAAATTGAAAATCTTTTTAGAACTAAAATTTTAATACTAAAATTGTATTTTTTTAAGTGGTAAATTATACTTCAACGTTCATACATAATAATGATATTTTATGGTAAAAATGAACATATGAATTTTCTTTTTATTTCTTTTTTAACTTCCCGTAGGGTAAGTTATAGTAATCGCAAAAAAATCGAAAATGAAAATTTTTATATATCTTTACGTTTCAGAGGTTTCTTAACATTTTGGCATACCTTAGAAAAAATGGATGTATGTGTGTGTGTGTGTGTGTGTGTGTGTGTGTATGTATGTATGTATGTATGTATGTGTGTGTATGTATGTGCGGATACAAATTTTCGTCGACGATTTCGGGAACACGGATCAACCGATTTGAATAATTCAAAAAACATTCGATTCGTATTGATAAGGAGACGTGCTGATTAGTTTTTGGCGGAGGCAGGTCTAGCCGTTCCGAAGATACGGGGCAAAAAGTGCCGAAAACGGTAACTTAGTTTTTAAGAGAACGGAGCGTCCGATTTGAATAATTCAAAAAACATTTCACTTGTATTGACAAGATGAAGAATCGATAAAATTTTCATGAAGGTAGGTCTAGCGGTTTCGGAGATATGGAGGAAAAAGTAAAAAAATGAGCCATTTGGCGGTCAAAAATGATCATTAGACATATGCACATCAAATTATCAGATATTTTATAGAGATTTTAACAATAAGTATACATTTTGTTAACATTCCTATGGGTTCCGTACCAATGCTTATGCGTTAAACAGCGACGCGGGACTTACGTCGCTTTGTCTCTATGCAGTTAAAGCAGTACGATTGCTTTGAAAAGAAAGTTCAGATCTTCCACAATATGTCAAAATAAAGAAAAAAAAAATTTTTTCAAAAAAAAAAAAATTAAAAAAAAAAATTATTTTTTAAAAAAAAAATTTTTTTTCAAAAAAAGTAATTTTTTGTCCAATTTATAGTTTCTCAAAAATCTTATTTTTTCAAAGTAATTTTTTTTCAAAAATGTTGATCGTTTTTAAAAAAATAATAATTTTGGTACGGGAAGTTCCAGCAATTTGCCTTAAGGCACGATGCCCTAATTGCCTTAAGACAGAATTCCACTTACAGCTAGTCTTCTATCTGTGGTCCCTATACAACTCTTTTTTTGCAAAACTATTATTACGGAGACTGTTTTGCAAGTAAAAAAGTTTAGATTAGATTTACTGTATATAGAGAGAAAAATATCAGAAATAGAAATTTCAATCCTGTATCAATTTTTGTGGATTTAAATAACATATGGTTAACAGAAGTTATGATGATTTGTTGATGGCTAGTGATCGTTTAAATCTTTAAAAGTTTTTAAATCTGATACTTCAAATTGTGTTCATTTTAATTAGTTTTAATTTTAAAATTATGTGTCATTTACTTCTTGTGTAATTTGATTTTTATATAATATGTTTTTGTTGAGAGTCATATATTTTTCTAAACAAAAACTCTAATTGTTCCCGTGATAAAGCTTTTCCTGGTTCTCAAAGCTCAGAATCCTTTACATAGATTCGTGCGTGGTATCGCATCGTAAAATCATTTTTCATATCCGGCACATTAGATTTAATTTAAGATCGAGCAGCATTTAGTGTTGAGTTTTTAAGGGTGAAAGCTTTCATAACATAGAAGACTCTAGAGTAGGCAACAGGGACTCCGAAACTTCAAATTTATAGTGAAATTTATCCAAAATCAAAATATTGAAAATTGAAATGGTATAATTTTTTACTACAAGTTATTTTCTCTTTAA